CCCCACCCCCTCTCATTTTCTAGGAGTGCTTCATGCGAGTGAAAAAGGTGGGGGGATGGGTGACAGCAGTAACAGAAAACCATAATTAGCAATGAGTCACGTTTGGATTTGAATCAGTGCATTTTACATTCAGTGAAAGCAAAGATGTTAACAAATAAATTGGACAATGTTCTGGCAATGTAGTGATATTTTCATAGTTGTGGTCTTGAAATAGAATCMTGAGTCCTCGATGTCCGAGACCTAGACAAGACCAAGGACTCGACCGTCAAAAAGTGGTCTCAAGACAGGTCTGGAGCACTACCACACTGTGCAGCCTCACATGTTTTCTGTAGGGGTAAAGAGGACTCACTTTGTAGTTTTGGATAGAATTGGCAAGATCATAAAAAATATTGTTTTAGAAAAAAATTAGATTCATTGGACTTAATTCAAGAGAATTAAATTACGTTAAAAATGTAAGGTAAAGGCTAAATAAGCAGTTCTAATTAAGTTTGTCACATGATGTCTCTGAGTGATGTTTATTTAAGGAACTCATAATAGCTCTTAGAACTTCACATATCCTTTTTTTTCTTCTGTACATTTTCATTTAATTTTTTTTCTTTTTAGGGTTGCGCAACATATTTAATATGCTTCAGAGGGAAAAAAACAAACAAACATAAAAATAGTAGCATTACTTTCTGTGTAACCTACTTTCCAAGTGCTCTATAAGCTTGTGACAAAACCATGTTAGTGTCTTTTTTCCCCTCTCTTACCAACATGTTAATGCAGTTGAAGAGACTCCTGGGGCCCATGTTTCACCGTATAATGGCACTGCTGCCTGCTGTTCCCATTGGCTTGGCTGGGAAATGACTCCTTTTGAACTCTGGGTTGGGTCTGCTCTGATGTCACTGTAACAAAATTGAGCTATTGCATGTCTGTGTACTATTTGATTGTGAGGGTATATTAGGTCAACATGCTCATTTTGGTGTCTGCTGACCTTACCAGTGAGTTATATTAACTTCTTTGTTCCACATCGTCTGGCTAGGCCTGTTGCGATAGTCAATAAATCAATTAACTGCACGATAAATTTTTTTGAGGTCGGTAAAAAAAAATGAGGACGATAAGTTTCATTTTCCTGCTTGTTTATTTACTTCGTCTCTCGCCCTCTCTGTGCTCCGCTACACAGGGGCTCAACTGACCCCTCCCCTCCTGTTTTCTTAGTGTGGGAGGAGTGAACTCTGCTTTAGCATGAGAGCTCGTAGCAATAACAAACTAAAGAAACGTTTCAAAGCAGAACGTGGCTGCTCCAGTGTCGGAGCACTAGAGACTGAATTTCGCTGCAGAGAGAGAGAGACAGAGAGACAGAGAGAGACAGACATAGAAGTAGTAGTAGTAGTAGTAGTAGTAGTAGTAGTAGTAGTAGTAGTAGTAGTATTAGGGGCTGAAACTCCCCCAGACCCGCGACAAACTCGTCAAGACTTTACCTGTAGCTCCCAAAAATACCAGGAAACTTAAACGCAGCATCTGTGTTTTAACAAAACACCCAAAAAACCTGTAGCTGTCCCAACAACTCATGAGGAAAACTCTGAACTGTCTGGTTTCCTCCCCGCAGCGCTCTGMYTGTCTCCTTTGACTGTCTCCTCCTCACACACACACAAAGACACATTTGTTCTTCTATCCTCATGGGGACTTTGCATTGACTTTCATTTATTTACCAGTATTTTCTATTACCATTTGACCCTAAACCTAGCCTAAACTTTACATAGGATGTGAACTGGGATATTCACTGGGATTATATCATATATATATACAGTATCATAATCAATGGGATTATGTCCCCATAAGAAACAGTGGGTCCTCACCAGGCTGTGTAGTTTGCTTCATCTCTAAAGAGATGCTGCTCTTTAATATTGTTTATTTACTGTCTTAGTTGTGTGGTGTTTAATTTACATTTTGTTGTTCTTTGCATTTTTTTTATTCAAGTGCATTTTTTGTTAGAGACTGAGAGTCCACTTTGTTAAACATTCTTTAAAAATTAAAGTTTATTGATTTATTACACTTACATATTACGCTTTTATTATTATTAGTTGTAAAATGCTCACCAGGCAATATTATCGCTTATCGCAATAATTTTTGAGACAGTTAATTGCCCAGCAAAATTTGTTATCGTGACAGGCCTACATCTGGCCCATTATTGCGAAGCACATTTTGCTACCTTTTTTTAAATTATGAACACACTGTGTCTTCCTTCCTCAGTGGTTATCCATGGCATTTGGTTCTATGATAAGCAGGACTGTCAACGTATTGCTCAAATGATGAAGGTGTAAGTATAAAACTTGTGTCTTTGCATTTATAGAGTAAAGCCAACATCATCACATTGTTAAGGTTGTTCATATGATAAAAATAAACAACACCATTATTTGGGCTTCCTTCACTGAATCACCTGCAGTTTCTTGACAGTACATAAAAAGTCATTTGTAACCACTTCAGATACACCTGTTTTAAGCTGTGGTACACCAGTTGGTACATAAGTTCATCATGTATTGGCTGAAGCATACATCAGGGGTAAACTACATTAAGAAAACCCTCTAACTAAAACGTCTGTCTGCATATGTTTTTATGTTTAGGAACTGATTTCTAAACACTTCCCACAATTTAAACTGTTTTGAGAGTCTGCACTTTAATCCTACATTAAATTTTGTCATTTTTTTTCTTTTGATAATCAGTGTGATTAACAATGATTGTTAGGGTCTAAACTCTTTTTTTTTTTTTTTGTTTGTTTCATCCAGTTTGACTCAGCAGGAGCAGATCGTGGCTCATTCTCAGGGTGGTTGGTTGTCTCCAGGAGGAGGAGGAGTAGGAGCAGGAGGAAGAAGTGCTGGTGCAGGAGGAAGAGGAGAAGGAAGGAGAGGAAGAGAAGGGGGACAAAATGAGGCAAAGGCAGTGGACATCATCCAGATGTTGACCAAAGCACGCTCAGATTATGACAAGGTATGAGAGCCACAATGATTGTTTTTAGGTTGAAGGTAAAGTTAAAACAGAACAACAGGAGTTGAAATGAAAAACCTTTTTATTTACATTTCTTTGTTTTGACTGATGAGCTGCGTTAGCTGTTATTTCAATTCAATTCAATTCAGTTTATTTATATAGCGCCTAGTCACAACATACGTTGTCTCAGGGCACTGCACATGAAAAAAGAACAATCTAAAGAAGAAGCCAGCAGATTGTGTTGAATCACTACATCACAGTCTCCCATCCAGAGCAAACGGTGGAGAGAAAAGACTCCCTATTAACAGGAAGAAACCTCTAGCACAGTGGTTCTCAACCTTGTTTGGGCCAGCACCCCCCAGCCATGATTGAGGGCCCCTAACACCCACCTCCCCCCTGTTAAAAGAGTCATAAACTGCCTGCATTAAAGATTTTTTTTAATTATTATTATAGTTGTGTTATGATTATCATTGCTTCTGATTAACAATTAGAAAAAAAAAAACACTTCACTGAATGACAAACAGGTGCTATATAATAAACCATAACCTCTGTCTTATCTGAGTTTAGAAGCAGAAAGTTGAGTCATCCAAGTTTTTATGTCTGTAAGACATGCTTGTAGTTTAATTAACTGGTTGGATTCATCAGGTTTCATGGATAAATATAAATGAGTATCATCAGCAAAACAATGGAAATTTATCCCATGCTGTTTAATAATTGCATTTCTGTTCACATTACTGTTTTTCTGCCTGTGTGTGTCTCAGGAAAAGTCTAACCCAGAGCCAAAGGAGATTGGTGGCAGCAGTGTTCTGTGTGGAAACCCAAACCTGATCAAACCAATACCAGTTAAACCGAATACTCAGGTATCAAAACAGTCCCTGTTGTAACATTCAGTTCTATTATTGTGCTCTTATAGCTTATAGGTCATCTTATAGCTGCTCTGTTTTTCTCCTCCAGGACAGTGAGGGTGTAGAGCCCAAACCCCTCTCCTTGGCCACTCTGTTTGGCTCTCATCAGCCTCACCTCGCTTCAAAATCCAGCTCCGCCCATCCTGCGCCAGCTCCCACATCCACAGGAAAAGTTAAACGCCCACCTGTAGCCCGCACACTGACCTACGACGATGCCGTGAACGCTGGCAGAAACGCGACAACGGGAAACGTAGCCCCCGCGGCGAGTTCAGACGCAGGGGTCAGGCCGCTGGCTGGCGAAGACGGTGGGAGCGTCGTGGCCGCGCTTCAGTATCCCGCCGCAGCGCCTCCGCAGCCGCCGAGCCAGCCTCATTGCCCCGCCATCACCAAGCTGATGCAGGGGCAGAGAGGGGTCACAGGCGTCGGGGGCGTGCTTCAGACCGTGTCGGAGTCCCCCGAGAACCGGCTGTGCGATAACGGGGCACCCCTCGACCACCACCACCACCACCACCATCACCACATGCACCAATATCACGAGCACCACCATCACGAGCACCACCCCCATCACCACCAGCACCAGCTGCAGCCCGACCCGATAAAAAGACTTTTACAAGCACATCCAGCTCCTCAGCTGGCCACCTCCTTCACCTCCACTGCTTCTGCCTGTTGCTCCAAACCACCCCCTCAACAGCAGACCCCTCTGCTCCACTCCCAGCCTGGACGAGTGGATCCTGCGTCCTGTTCGCACCTTCAGCAGAGCCAGCAGGTTTTTTTCCACGTTACAAAGTCTCAAACAGAAACTCAGAACCACCAGACGTCTGGTCCAGCACCGGGAACAGGTTAGAAATCTGTTTTGGTGTCAGTATTCACAAATGTGTTGACGTAAATGCTAAAATATATTTACCTATGTCCCTGAGGGGGTTACATCATACACATGAGACTAACTTTAGGTGAATCAATTGCGGCAACTAAAGTTTTTACCACACGAGTTTAATTACACAACAACTGTAGCGAGCTACCAAATAACAACTAGCTAACATTAGCTAACATTAGCTTACCATTGTCTGTCATCAAGCTGCTGGATGGTCCGGTGCAGACTTCGGTACTTTAACTTTGAGTTTGGTGTAGTCTATTATTGTTGTGCTGCAAATAAAATAAGATTTGCATTATGATCCAGCTTACATCGAGGCGACTCTGCTCAGTGTAAACACAACCAGGGCTGGTGTGTAAAACGGCCAGGCTGACTGAAGCGGGGATGGGCTAAATTACTTTTTGTATACTTGCAAAAGAAGTCATGACATCACTGCTAATACTCCTTCATCAGGTCTGCCCCCCCAGATGCAAGGTGTGGTGTCGCCTCACGAGCTACTCCACAAACTCCAGCTGGTCCAGCAGGAACAGAACCTGACCTCTCACGATCCCCCTCGACCCTACCCAGGACTGGCGCCTCGATTCCTGGGGCCCAACCAGAATCAGGATGCAGGTCCTTCCACAGACACGGTTCCACCCCTGACCACAGCCTCCGCAGGTCAAAAAGCTGCTTTTCAGCTGCAGGTAAAGTTCAGCACTGACTGTCAGTGTTTGACTTTGGCTGCATGAATAGTGTTGCAGTAAAAACAGACGAATGCAGATGAAAACACACATTTATTAAAACGTTTTACTAATGCTAAGGTATTTATTTTAATAATTCTGGTACTTTTTTATGTCTTTGATACTTGTGCGCAGGTTATCTCCCCCCAACGGATACCTGCCACGGTGGCCCCCACTCTGCTCCTTTCTCCCAGTGTGTTCACTCAGACAAAGTCGAGCAGCGGACTGCCAGCAGTTGCTCAGGACAGCTGCTCTGTGGCCAAAACTCTGCCCAGACCCCCCATGCAGGACGAGGTCAGAGCACTTTCCCGAAGCCAGCTTCAAGCAGCACTGCTGCATCTGATCCAGGTAAACTACTGTTTGAATGCTAATTTAGATATTTTTAATTTTATTTATTTTATTTTTTTTATTGTTGTTTTTAAATCTGCGGCCTCGCAGTCACAGGTCACATRAACAGTAGTTGTACAGTTTTGTGTGTACGTTATGTGATGTTAAACAAGCCTTCAGAACTAAGTTGCTTACTTGCTGTGTTTCAGACTGACAGCTCATTCCTGGACTCCATCTACGAAGCCTACGTCAGCCGCTTTGCTAACAGCTCCGGCAGCAAGTACTGATGACTCTTCACACCCGCTGTTTCCACATGCTCCCCRTTCAACGACTTACTCTGAAAACTACCAGTTCCTGCTTCGGAGTATCAGTCACTGCATCTCCTCTGCAGTTGTGTAGTCAGCCAGACTCTATTCATTAATCATAAATGCATAAATGCATTTTTTTTCGTATCAAAATTACACTTAAAAAAATGAAGATGTGTTGTAGCCATACTGTCGTATGTTTTAAAAAAAATATGTAGCTTATCTGTTTTTAGCAGAAACATGCTACACTTTCAGTTTTCTCAAGGTTACCCGCATACTCCTCCTTGTGTATTTTGCAGATGTGTAGCAATGTTTATAAGTCTTAACTGATTTCTCCTTCCTTTTAACACCAGCCAGCTAAGTCGAGGTAGCTCAGTGGTCAGTGCAGCTGCAGGTTYGAGCACAGGTTGAGCAGGAAGGAGCGTCCTGTAGAAGGGATCAKCTGAAAGGAAAACCAACATTAGTTAGTTTGTTTTACTTTCAGCAGGATTTAAATTAATTRTATTTAAATTGTTTTAGCTGTGTTTCTTTAGAAATGAGCAATAGCAAAAATCTGCACTGATATTTTAGTAAATTTTCCCATCAGACATGTTATTTGTGAGGCGTCGAGGGGTATTTTGAAGAGGATGGAGTGGGGAATATATTAGCCTCTTATTTTTTATCCTTTTAATTGTWTCAATTCAGTTAMGCAAGAAGAGAGCAAGAAGAGTTGTCTTTGAGTGCACTTTGTAACATAACTAGTACTTAGTGAGTCTCCTTTTCTGATTGTTGGAGCACATAAAGAAATAAAAAATGACAGTCAATTGTAAAAACAAACAAGCAAACAGGTCAACCTGCACTACCTCACAAAAAGCTCATTTAAAGGTGGGGCTTTGATTTAATAAAGGCACAACAGTTTTAAAAGGGATTTTATCATTATTGGCTAATTTTAACACACCAAAATGTAATTCAAGTTGTTGTGTAAGTTTTGATTCTTAAAAAATAAAAATAATTCTGGGTCTAATATGTTTTATAC